CAAAGGGAAACAAGAAGGGAAACAAGAAGGGAGACAAGGGGAGACAAAAGGGGAGACAAGGGGAGACAAGACCCTCGGGAAGGCGGACACACCATCCAACGGGGAGACAAAGGGAGGCAAGGGGAGACAAGGGGAGACAAAGGGAGACAAGGGGAGGCAAGACGAAACAAGAAGGGGTACAAGGGAGACAAGGGGAGACAAGGGGAGACAAGGGGAGACAAGGGGAGACAAGGGGAGACAAGGGGTGGAGAACAAGGGGAGACAAGGTGGAGACAAGACGAAACAAGAAGGGGTACAAGGGAGACAAGGGGAGACAAGGGGAGACAAGTGGAGACAAGACCTCGGGAAGGCGGACACACCATCCGACAAAGGGAAACAAGAAGGGAGACAAAGGGAGACAGACAAGGGGAGACAAGGGGAGACAAGACAATCGGAAGGCGGACACACCATCCAGCACCAAGGCGGACACCTTAAGAAAGCATTAAGAACCCCTAACAGTACACTGTTTGGGGAAAAAACATGTACTGCAGAAGCATCAGGCTTCAGCTAGCCAAGTGGCTGTAACCAGTTGATGTGCTTCAGCAAACGGATGCTCAGCAGTGTTGAGATCTGATGCCTGTTTGTGCCATGGTAATGAGTAAATGATGCGGCATGGCATGGATCGGTTTTTGCAGTTGAAAGCTGCAGCAAATGGACCAATCCGACTTTTTGTGACCAGCCAAAGTCTCTACTGCTGACTTGAGGTCTGTGTCGACCACGCATGAGCCCGTACAAAGCAGACAGCCTCCGCAGAAACTCAGCAGCCAATCGCTTCTGTGCCTTCCTGCATCCAGCCGTGCCACGTCACCATGTGCTGATGTTGACAAATGTTGACAACTTGGTTGCATCCTTGTTGAACAAAATTTGCATTCTTCCGGGCTTCCCTTTCACTTCATTCACCTATACAGCCTATACACTCCCTTTTGAACCCTTCCAGGTATTGTAGTCCTGTTTCACCCCGCAGACCTCACAATCTCAACTCAAGCAATAAACTGGTGTCCTCTCCCTCCAAATGGTGTTCAACTGAAAATTCAAGCAGGAGAGTGCCCAATACCGCCGTGTCAGAAAGCCAACCTCACAAGAGATAAACTGGTGATCCTGGAAACGGTTCAGCCCAGGAAAGACTTTTCTATTTTGCTCTACACGTTCTTCTATTTTCCATTTCGTCTTAGCGTCTTAGCGGTTCCTTCTTGGCAGGCTAACAGGATTCAAGAGGATTCAAAACCAACTACCAAGATCTACCAAGATCTACCAAGATCTACCAAGATCTACCAAGGGCACCTTGCCAGCGCCACGAAAGCAGCACCTTCAAAGACTTCGATTGTGCAGTTGTGCAGCATCTGTGCAGCATCGGTCACGTGCTCCATGTTTTGCACTTTCGATGGAAAATTGCAAAGCTCTTCTCTCCCAGCCAGGGCACAAGCAGGCAAAGAAAGCACGAAGAATCGTGACCAGGTGTAGGGAAAGTTTCAGTGCCTTGGAATTCACGTGCACTGACAAAGCTTTTCATAGGACAAAAACCGTAAAAGTGTGTCTTTCTCTGCGAAATTTAAGAGCCAGTCTCCCGCAGAAAGCAAAAAAACTGCATCTCGCAAGAGTTCCTCTGCAAAAGCGAAAGTGACTAAAGATCGGTCAATCACCAGCGATCTGCAGTCTGAGCATATGGATCAATCATTGATCAATCATCATGGAAGTTCTCCCACGGAAAATATCCTTTGAAGAGGCAACCACGACATTTCACTTCACCAGTCCCCACCCAGCCTGCACAAACTTCTGAAGTCGCAAGAGCTGCGCATTGAAGATTTGGGACAGTCTCAGCAAAGAAAATGCAAATTGCTATAATGACAGAGTTCTCAAGTTCTCAAGTGCTTTCACCAAACTTAGAGTGTAACGACTCTGAAGTGTCGCTAAACCTTATCCCGGAAGGCTGCACTAATCTCGATTCGGTAAGTACTGCCTGTAATCAAACTCTCAACATCTCTCAACCAGAACATTGCGACGGGTTCACATGTGCTTGCTGGTGCTTGCTGGTGCTTGCCGGTGCTTGCCAGGCCATTCTGTGCCGGAGTTGCTTGGCTGCCCTGGTACCGTAAGTTGATCCAGATCCTTTTGATGTCTAGGTGATCTGCTCGGCGCCATTGCCACCTTGACTCACACCTGGAAGTCAAATGAGGTTGCACGAAGCCGTTCAGACTGTGTCTGCACACTGTACAAACTCAGTAAAAAGGTCATTCCTAAAATATTCTAAATGCACAGTGCACATGGGCCTCGCTGAGATCTTGAGCCTCACCACAAGCTTTGCGAATGGTTTTCAACTCTTCAAATCCAACTCTTCAAAGGTTCTGAGAAAGTTTTCAGGGCCCAACGCTTCTCTATGTATCTCTGCTGGGGGTGGCTAGCCTTGGAATCAACCAGACAGACCGAATCAACTTTCCTGAGGTCATCTGGAGGTCTGGCAGGGTCGCTGAAATGGCGCAGGATCAGCACAATGTCCTCTCCTGTTCCAGGCCTGTGTCACTCCAATTGTTCTTGTCAAAAGACTGCTTTGTCAACATCAATTGTCAGACGATCCCCCCATGCTAGCTTTGACATGATTTGACATGATTTGACAGTTTGACCATGTTTGACCATCCAAAGATAGGACTGCTCTCAGATCTCTCAGGCATTCCAACCCATGAAGGCCTGACACTCGGTTTTGACATGACCTCGAGAAGGCAGGTGAAAAAGTAGGGTGGCGGCGGACAACTTTCCGCTGCATGCTGCCGCATCATCCGCATCCAGAAGAATCAGTAGAATAGGGCATCATCCGCATCCAGTAGAATAGGATACTGTAGATACTGATGGATAATGGACAAGATAGGGCAGCACTGGCCGCACCTTTTTCCCAGCATCACTAGGCTGCAGGCTTGTCACTTGTCTAAGGGCACAGATGGGCACAGGTTGCCAAGATCTCCCGCTGGCAGGGCGTTCATCAAATGGATACTGAATCTCAGACCTATTCTGGTGTTTCGTGGAGAAGCTTTCGTGAGATGTTGGATGTTGAATGTGTATCTCACTATACTTATGTCAATTCCGCATTCATTATCCAGCAGCATAGTTCCGAATCTGGAGAGAACAAAGCAAAAAGACGGATCAGGTGAATCTTCTAATCTGCAGAACTGCCAGAAGATCAAGAAGTCTTAGGTATTGATTCAAATGCGACTGCTTCAAAGCCTCCGCTCGCCTTTTCTCGCACTAAAGCGATCAGTTGCATGGCTTAGGCCATCGCTACATTGCAACTTCTTGTCGCTACATCTGCCTTCAGTGATTCTTCTTTGGAATTTGATGGCAGATCTCGGCAGTTTCACAAAGCGTGTTACAAAGCACGGCCATGATAATGCTCTGCCATAGCCTGGTGACTGCTGGCGTCAAACACTCACCAAGGGCAATGCACATTTCCATATCTGTATCTATATTTATCTATGTCTATGTCCATATCTATATTTATCTCTATATATAAAATATATTTATCTATCTGTATCTATCTTTATCTATCTTTATCTATCTTTATCTATATTTATCTATATTTATCTATATTTATCTATATTTATCTATAGTTATCTATATTTATCTATACTTATCTATCTCTATATCTATATCTGTATCTATATGCATTTATATATATATATATATATGTATAAATATATCCATCTCTATACTTGTATCTATATTTATCTATACTTATCTATCTCTAAATATCTGTATCTATGTTCAACTATGTCTATGAACGTGTATCTATATTTATCTATATTTATGTCTATAGCTATATTCATATCTATGTATATCAGTACCTATATTTATCTATATATATATATGTATGTATCTATATTTATTTATATTTATCTATATTTATCTATATCTATCTCTATATCTATATTTGTATCTATATCTACATGTGCATCTATATCTATATCGGTATCTATATCTAAAATTTGTGTATCTATACCGATATCTATCTACCTACCTATCTATCTGTCTATCTGACTATCTGTCTATCTATCTATCCAACCGTACAACTATCTACCCATCCATCCATACATGACATGGCAAGACGTGACATGACATAACGTAACATGACATGACATAACATGACATAACTTGACATACCATAACATACCATGACATACCATGACATATCATGACATACCATGACATACAATGACATACATGCACCCATAGATACACCCTTACATACACCCATACATACACCCATAAATACACCCATACATACACCCATACGTACACCCACACATACACCCATAGATACACCCTTACATACACCCATACATACACCCATAAATACACCCATACATACACCCATACGTACACCCACACATACACCCATCCATCCATCCATCCATCCATCCATACATACATTACATTACATTACATTACATTCCATTACATTATATTACATTACATTACATTACATTACATTATATACATACATACATAAATATGTCACATATGTCTGTATACTTGCATAATTTGCATAGCATACATATAATACACAGATATAGACCTAATCTCAGAAGATTCCACTAACAAAGAGCACCTGTCAAATCAATTCACATCCGGTCATGGAAAAAGTGGTTTCACAAATGGATAACTTTTATATAACTTGATCTTACCGCGATACCTTTGCAGAGACTTGCTGTGCAGTCAAAGGCATGAGGGGTAGTGGGTCTGCCAGAACACTTGGTCCTGCAACTAAAAGACCCATCAGGACGCTATGTTCGCATAAGTGTGGGCTGCGAAGGCTATGTTGTTTGACGGCAAAGACGGGAGTTTCATTGATTCCACCCATTTCATTAATTTCAACGCAAGCCTGGAAAAGAGTCAGAACTCACTTTCGCATGAACGCTCCTGATAGCACCTGTTGATATGCACTATCCACTATTCTTGGCTCAATTGTGCACGGTTTAGGCTATGTTCACCGCAGCTTGGGGCGAACTTTCCATGCTTTGACATGGTGGCATTGAGATGCATTGGGTGCAAAGAATTGAGCCAGCGGAGAACAGGGGGAGCTGTGTGTACAAATGTATGGCAAAATGTTTGTTTTTTTTGTTTGATGATGCAGGAAAGTCGGGGTAGAACAAACGCCGTACGAAAAACACAGGAAAAATTGTAGAAATATCGAGCATGAAATCTTTGGCCTTCTTGATGCTGATCCAACGCTGATACCTGGCAAAATCAAAAGCGACTTAGCATCAAAGGAAAGCAATGTGTGTGTCACTGTGTGTAGTCCTTCAAATTGGCTGGGTCACTGCGTGTAAAGCCATCCTGTGGTTCCAACCATCACGAGTGAAAGGAGAGCTAGCAGCGACCTGAGCCACAAATCTGTATGATCAAAATGGTAGCTTCGTGTGAAAGTTTTTCTCGGAGAGATGGGGCAGAAACCAGTGATCAATGGAGAATCATACTCACGCAACCTTAGCAACCTGAGCAACCTTTCAAGATCTTTCAAGACTCTAAATGCTGCAGGTCTCAATACTTCTACAGACAAGTTGCAGCTCGTAGTCTTCCCACGACTCAGCATTTTCCATCTCAATCTGGGAGGGACACGCAGCAAATGAGGGGGAAGTGTCCCCCGAAGTGGCACCTCAACCTGAACAACTGAAGTATCAAAGACAAAAGCCGGCGTGCCTCTGCAAGATCCGCTTTTTCATTTGCTCTTGTGGTGTCAATTTCTGCATTGTAGGCATAATCCTGGGATCCAAGTAAGAACAAAGAGAGTTTCTGCCTGGATGCCATTGCAGTTTTCAGACAACTACGAGTTTGGGGCATCAACATCCCAAAAGGTTCAAAGTACGTGCTGCAGCCTGACCAAATATTTTGAACTTCAGAGTTAGGAATGGACAAGCCACCAAGTTGTCAGACATCAAAGTTGGCAACAAAACAAAACCTCGAGATCTTGAGAGCGAGGACAAAGTTTGGCCAAACAAAAATCCTTTCAGTATGGACTTGCAAAAAGGGAAAAAAAACATAAAAAAAACACTAAAGTTGAAAGGCAGTTGAAAATAGTTGAAAGGTATTTCAAGTCTTTCCGGCGAGAGGGCCAGTTTGCTGGTAGATCCGCTTTGTTGGAATATGCTGAAATGATGCTTCTGAACACCTGGATTTTCGCAAAGAATTCAAAGCACGTTCCGACGAATACGTTTAGAAAACGCATGTCTTGTGCAAATGAGGCTCCAGTGCATTGTCTGCAGCGTGGCCTGGACTGCCACATGCACCCAGGTCAACATGCGTCTAGACCAAATGTCGGTGCAATGTCCGTGCCTGCTTTCTTTGTCAGCGCTTCCAGTTCCTTCAAGTGCTTTGAGTATGCAAATGTATTCAATGATTTGCGTGTATGCGTGCAGATTCAGTGTGGAGATCTGCTCCAATTTGTGTGACAATTCGCACAAATGCCAATCAGCCTGCTTGGCATGTTCATCATGCGCACCCTTGCTCGCCAAAAAGCTTGTTGGATCATATTCTGGAGTTTTCGCCTGCAAAAGAAAAGCCAAGTTGACTTCAATAGCGGTTTCTCATGTTCATTCACTCCTGCGTTTGGGTCTGCCTGCAAGTGAGCTGGAAGGGGGCTCTCAAGAAAGGCTGAAAGTGCCTGCCAGCTGAAGGTTCAAGTCTAGAATGCTATTGCACAGTCTGCTGTTTGAAGTAGCTAGCCTGAACTCACATTTTTGCTGCACGACTGTCGATCTGACGACAGTACAATTTGACACCAGAGGCAAAAGTGGTAGTAGAGTGGAAAGTCGTCCCAGAGTCGTATTTTTTCTGGGAATTGGTTTTCCATGGTTTTCCCATTTAATAATCGAATTCAAACAGCCTGCTCAGCTATTGGCAAAAAATGTGACCCGGGGCACAAGTTAAAGGTGTTCTGGCATGGTTTTGGTGGGTTCAGTGTCTTACAAGACAGCCTGCCTTGACACCAGGTCGCACAGAGGATGGGCGATTGAACTTGCACACAAACTCCCCAAAAGAATTTTCAGCAGCATTCCTGCATTTGTCGAGTTCGAACGCGTGATATTGAAACAGAACACTTGTGTTCAGTATTCACAACAACTGATTTTACTAGTGTTTCAACTGGTGGAAACAGTTTACGGTTCCAAGCCTTACATATCTGGTGCCAGTCTGACGCCACAGACTTTCACATTCGCCATGGAATGCCATGGTGAACGCTGCGTCAATACATTTGATAGCAATCCGTCTGCATTGAACCGCCTGGTGATTTGAAATTCAATCCTTGCTTTTGGAACCAAAATGAAATCCAATCTCTGCTTCCGGAACAAGAATAGTGTTGAAATGATTAGGCTCCGAAAACGAAAGCTGCGGCAACAACTGCAGCCCTTCGAAAAAATTGATTTCGGACAATTCTGCTGGTTTCAAATGGTTGAACGCTTGTCTGACTATTGTTGCTTATTAAGTGCCCTTTCCCTCGAAATTTTGACAAGAACTAAGAACTACATTTTTGGGGGAAAAATGCATTTGTTTTTGATTTCAAAATCAATCTTGAATCTTGACCCTCCATTTTTCGAGAACACAAAGCCTCACCAATATGGAACATGAAACTTGAGGCCAAAGGGAAGGGGACAAAAGTTAATCAGGCAATGAGGCTATGCATGAAAAACACACGTGGCATGCCCCTTGCTGTCCGGCCAGTACTAGGGGAAAAAAAACGGAAAAAAAATAAAACAGAATGGTCCACGAAATAATTCAATTGATTTTTTTTCGGTTCAGTCACTTTGTGGTCAAAGGGCTGCAGTTTACAATGGTTATGTCAAGGTTTTGCTTATACAACGGTCTAGCAACCAAGTTCTGTTTAGAAAACGGTCTGGCAACCAAATTCTTCTTACAAAATGGTGGAGGGGTTGTGCACCCCTTGTTTATACTACAAAATAAGGCGCGTACCCCCTCAGTGTCTACAAAGTGGGCGTGGGATAGATAGTACGGTTTCCACAAAAGTTTTTCCGGCAACCAAATCCTTATTACAAAAGGATACAAAAAGGTTTAGCACATAAGTTCTGCTTACAAAACTCTCCGGAAACCAAGTTCTATTTACAAAACTGATTTTTTTCCTTGATAGCAAAACGCGTGTGGATACATATGTAATGCACGTGCCCCTGCGTGACATGGCGACTCAGTATGACAACATATTGAAGTCAACGTTTCAAGTAAATGCCAAGCATGCAGTTGTTTCTACTGCTGTGTAAATGGGATGTGGATACGGTCAAATCCATTCACCCCGCCTCCACCTTTAGCCGTTTGACTGTAGGTTGTTAAACAGCCATCTACTTGCAACTGGAAACATTCAGCTATTGTTTCAAGGCAATTGGGCTCAGCTGCAAAGTGCAAAGGCTATCCAGGTATTTTTTTCATTCTGCGAAGAAAGATGGAGCGGTCTTTTGAGCCTCAGGGCCTATGGATTCCAAGTCTGAAACTGTGATGAGTTCACAGGGCTTTCATGTGCTCAAATTGGAGTACCTGACAGGTATGAGTGCTGAGTCAAAACGTTCGCACTCCTCCTAAATTTTCTGAGTTTCAGCTTGGAAATTTCTCTTGTTGTTTTCGACCAGCCCACAGCAGATTTGCTGTGAACTCATCCAAACTTTTCTAAATTCCTTCTATCAGCTCCACCTTCAGTGAAAAAAACTGTCGCGCAACTCTTTTGAAATTGGTCTTTCTCCTCTATGGCCCGAATCTGATTCCGAGCTGTACTTCAAATTCCTCCACATAGCTAGCAAAAAGTTTCGCTGTGCGTGATCTGGAATGATTGTTGCTCCTTCTAAACCTTGCATCCAGACCTTCAGTGATGTCCATGAGAAGCCTCTCAAGTTGATCTGGACTCAAAGGAGTTCCTGGTGTTCCTCTGTCCAGAGCCATGAGTACCAGCTGTTGAACTGCTGCCGCATCTGAGTATTCATGCAACGCCAAACATTCATTGGTTAAGTTTCGAAGCCTGTTCACAACATGCTCCCTGGTGTGGACGTCAATGGCCTCGTCCACTTCCATCTCTGATTCTTCTCCTTGTTCTTGTTCTCCTTGATCTGTGCTGTCAGCTGCTGCATGAATCCCAGTTGAATGCTGGTTCACCAATCTCATGTATCGATCACCGCCCATCACATGAAATGATGTCAAATTGGCCTGCTCAGTTGCATACATATGCCTGTTCTGGTCCGAAGTGAATTCGTTGTATCTTCGGAACCCTCCAACTTCAACCAACCCATAGTGAATGCTGCTTGCGTAGTCCTGGAGAAATTCTAAGTCTCTGGCAGTCTCACCAAGACCGAACTCTGCTGATAGCAGCCGTCCACTATAGTCCGTGTAAGCTGTGTCCAGCTCTGCAACCTGAACGCCCAAATCATAGTGCTCTCTCTCCATGACTGTCATTCCATGTTTCCATTTTCGATACAACCAGTAACCTGCACATCCAAAAGTGACCCATGTGGCCAAAACCAGAAAATGCAGACATAGTTGAACACGTTGGATTCTACCAACGTCGCTGTTGTTGCCACTGCCACATCACATTGGTCTCGGGAACCAATGGCACATGTTGATCCTTCCAGCTCATCCGGAAGGAATTGCCCGTTTGCACCACTTGACCCAAGGCCCATTACAGTAGCAACGCGCATCAAACTCTTTGCCAGCTGCATGATTTGCCTTCTTGAGCCATGCTTTTCGACTTGTTCGTCATGTTCATGCTGTCCAATGATTGTCAAACCATTGTCTTTACATACTCCAAGTTCATAAAGCAAAACCTTAACCCTTTGTTGAGGAAGCGCCTTCGTGCAGAGGTCGGCAACATTCCATGCCGTCGGTAGCTGCTGCAAGAAAACATCACCTGACAAAACATGCTGTTGTATCCAGAGTATCTTGCCATCGAGGTGTCGGACTTTTCCTACACCCTGTTTGGATGCCAGTTGTCTGGCTGAAGAACTGTCTGTCAGCAGGTAATGAGAAACATCAGCTCCAGTGAGAAATGAAAGACAACGCCTCATGTAGATACCATCTGTCAAAGCGCTCACCATGCCATGTAGCTCAGCCTAGCAAGATGAGAGGCTTACAGTTCTCTGCGTCCTTGAAGAACCGAACATGTAAAACCCATTGATCAAATGGATGCCAGCGCTTGTACTCTTCCTGTGTTCCTTATTTGAACTCCAATCTGAATCACTTGCACTTTCCAGCACCCAAAACGACTCATTGGTGTTCTTCCATTTTCCCTGGCCACCTTCAGGCTCTGCGATGACCACTGCATAAGACGCAGTTCCCTTGACATACCCCATGACTTTCTTGAGCCTTTGCAACGCTGTCACAGTTGGTTGAGCCATCTTCGCTGACAACTCTTTGACGCAAAACAAGAGGTCTGGTCTGTCTCTTGCTAAGCAAAGCAAACCTCCAACTGCAGATCTGTAAGCATAGGCATCACGGGATGTCAAGTTTGAAGACACATCAGGGAGTTGAATGGAAGAGTCACATGCCACATGTTGAACGCGCACTTGACCAAAGCTGCTTTCGAAATTTTCCACCAACTTGTCAATGTTGGTTCCTGGAACCAGAGCTAAACCATGGTCAACCTTCACCAGCTTCCGTTTCAAGAAGGAAATTGAGCTCCCTTCTCCTTCCAAACTGATGCACTTACGCTGAACTGCTCCTTCAACTTTGGCAAAAACTGTTCTTCCCAAAACTTGCGCTTTCCCACAAACAAAACATCATCAACATGCAACATCAACGCTGAATGTTCATTTCGGCACAGACATGGTTGCTCTGTGCACCACTCATAGCCAAACACTTTCGAAAGGAAATCCCTGAAAAACCAGTACCATGCTTTTGCACCAAGACGTTGGCCTGGGAGGTTCTTGGCTATGATGTACTTTCTGCCTGCCAGTGTCACTGCAAAGGGCTTTGCTTGTGGTACACATAGGAAAGCATCCTTGATGTCAACTGTTGCCAAAACATGTTCTGCTGCATGGTTTTCACAGCCACGTCGTTCAGCACATCGTTGCAAGTAAACCATTGGCAAAAGGTTCATCACTTGAGTTGATGTCTGGCCACCAGGCGACTACGTCGAAGCCACCTTTTGGTTGTACTTCCACCATCCAAGGTGTGATCCTTGGCACGCCAGTCATGCACGAACTTCGTCGTCAAGGAGTCTCGAACTTCACTTTGAAAAAACTCCTCCTTGATCAAAACCTTCATGTCTAACAAGCGCGAGATTTCAACCTCGTTTGCAAGCATGTCAACCCATTCTGGTGGTTCATCAGGTTGACGCTCCATGTTGTCACTCCAAAGATCTTCTGGAACATCCTTGAAGTGCAGAGAGTCTTCATCAGCCCATAAATCGGCTGAGTCACCTTGTTGCTCCATGTCTTGGTCGTTCTCGAAACTGTCCATGGTGTGGAACTTCTCATTGCCAAACTCCACAGTGCTGATTCTTGAAGCATACTCCTGAGCGATCCTCTGGAGTCTTGAGCGCTTGGGATCATCACCCCTGGCACGCTTTGCTTGATGCTCTTCAATGTCAACATCTTCATCACCATGTGCACGTGTTGTTGGAGAAGCACGTGGGGTCTGTGGAACATATGCAACTTCCATGGGTCCTTGATCATCAAAATTGGAGTGACTGGGGCTTCACTGCCTGCAACACCAAGAGAGGGAGCAGGAACTCCTCCTGTGTCGGCCTCCACATCGTCTCCAACCTCAACAGTTTCATCATCATGTTGCACTGCATCTGAATCACCAAAGCTAACTTCCGGTGGTGCATCATCTTCAACCGCAGGAAGCTCATGTCGATCATCATGTGCACCCATTTCAACTCTTTCTGATTCTTCTCTCAGCTCCTCTCTTGCTTTCTCACGCACTACTTCGGCATCTGCATCCTGAAATGCACTTGGTTCAATCTTACCTTGAGGAAGTTGAAAACCCACTGAAAGTGCCTCTTTTTTCCATCCAACGCCAGGTGGCTCTCGCCAGGTCGTTTATCAAGCCGGAAAGACAATTGCATTTTGCAAATTCACCGAATTAATGCAGTGGCAACATCAGTCATGACGACAATGTGCATACAAAAGAGAACTGAGTAGGATCGACACATAATCCATTGTGCTGTCACCGTGCAAAGCAAAAAAGCAAACAAACAAAAACCAAAAACAACCACAACACCATTTTTTTTCCGTCCAACGCCTCTTGGCTTTTGCCAGGTCGTTCAACACGTCCAGTT